CCCCAAAACCCCAAAACCCCAAAACCCCAAAACCCCAAACAATTATGATATAATTGATTATAAATAAGAATATTCGATCATGGATGAAGAATGCAAAGGCACCACAATCAATCTTGAAACTATCATGAAGAGAATTCATGGGTGAGATCATCAAATCAGCTACTTTATGCCACGAAATTTTCCAAAGATTACTTCCTTTGATCTTCTAGATATAACTGGCTTACCCTAATGTTAAAAAATCACCAATATATTAGATCAGGGTTTATTTTAGATAATAATATTTTATAGAGATGACTCGTCTCCATCACATGACAGCTTCGATTCAGGAAGCGATAGTGGGCTGGTAAAGCCATCCTCATTAGCAGAAAGATTTGTAAAATTCCCTCACAATTCTAGAAAACAAATCCGAGGTTCAGTGCTAAAGCTAATAGTGAAAAAATAACACAGTTCCCGAAGAGACTGAATTACAGTATCATCCAAAAAATGAGAGACAAAGGGATGCTAAAGTAAAATTTCAACCTAATATTAGACCAAAGAAAGCCTCATCACCAGTTATTAATAAGGGGATTTTAAAGAATCTATCTACCAAATCTCTTACAAAAAGCAAGAAGTTGTTATTTACAACCAGCCCAAAGAAAAAAGTTCTCCTTTCTTCAAGAGCTCCTAGTAAAAAATCTAGAACTAGTCTATCAGAGAAAGATTCCTCTGTGAAAAGTCCTTTGCCACCCAAAAAGTAACTTAAAATCCTGATCTTATAGCAAAAATTCCCTGAAACACATCTATCCTGCCTTCATTGATGCCATACAGAAGAGGGAAGACGAAGAAGAGGAAGAGCAGTATCCTTTCAGTAAGCGCGAAGCTATAAAACTCGCACCACTGATTGGCCTGAACGCTCTCACTCCCAGGGATAAGTTGACCAAGGATTACAAGAAATATGCATGGTTCTTGAAAATCGTCCTTGGCAGCAAACTTCCACCTGGGTACACCAGAGAAACTGCTCCTGGAAAAGAAGTCATATATTTTAATGAAATTACTGGGAAAGTAAGTAAAGAACACCCGAGAGCAGGGTTCTTCAAATAAGACCTTCACTAAAATTGTCAAGGCCGAACTGGAATCTAAGAAAAACAATGTTATGGACAAGATCGTCATTGATGAAGCAACCAAACATAGCATTGCACAAAGGTAAAATAAAAATAACCCTTTAAACTAGGTCTGAGAAGAACAAGGAAAAAGTTGTTCGCAATACTAAGAAAGGTAAAAGAAGCATCATTCTGGGCAGCAGTCTTTCTAAGTCACTTGCTGATAAACTTACCAATAGTATCTCATATTGTGCTTAGCTCTATAGAGATTGAATCACAAGAGCCTACCTCTAGGGAAATAAACAAGTCTACTGAAAGATATAATATGCTAACAAAATGTATCTTAGACTATTATGGTATAGTTATCCAAAACAAGTCTCAAAGAGTTAATCCAAAAATTGAAAGAAAACATGAGAAAAACCAGACTCTCAAGTATTATCAATTTCTTAAAAGAACATTTGGAGACTCTATCAATGCCATATTTGATAACGATAGTGTGAAGGCTGAGATTCTCTCATTCTTCCCTACATTAACTTCTGAAATACTCCAAGATATTGAAGAAAAGTATCATAGCGATCAAAATTTGCAGGAAAATAAGCGATACAAAGCGACTTTCCGAATCAAACCCGCCACTCAGACTAGCTTCAAGTATGAATTCAAGTAACTTTCCTTAGAAAGCACCAGATTAGAAGCCAAAAGTGTAAAATCAAGCGTGCAGCCGCAGTTAGAGCTAATTCAAGACTATTCCTAGAAAAGGCAAAATATCTCGACATTAAATAAAATCCCGAGTGACGAAGAACTTATCATAATCAGTACTTGTTCATAATTTTCTGATTGAGACATAGGCCAGCAGCTGAGCATCAATATCCCGAAGGATGATCCGAACCTGCTGTTAGCCATATTCAATGCCTATATGGACTTTAGAGAGAAACATAAGGTTCCATGGAGATATAGGAACTATCAGGATAAATAAATATTGGGTCTACGTACTACCTTAGCATCTTATTTTCTAGAAAAATGACATCAGAGAGACATATCCTTACCTTGAGGAAATGAAGAAGATAGTCAGTGCCATATTTGGCATAAAACCAGAGTCAAAACCCAGCAAGATCACTCGACGAAGTAAGGCCTCTTATTCAATTTTTATGCCACTATTATAGCCAGTAGTAAATCTTTGGGGATCATGACAGATAAGTCCTTAATTAACACCCAAAGTTATACTCATGCAATGACTCAGAGGGAGAACCTGACTCTCTCTCCTGAGAAAATTTGAGGTATTGGGCACATTTCAAGTTTAGAATCCAACAAAATACTTAGCAAGATTAGCACTTCTGAAAACATTAAAGATCTGGTTAGCATAATCAATAAAGAAAGAGAAAAAGTGTCTGAAGTGTTTATATCAAAGTAAGCCTTCTTCTGACCATAATAGTTCCATAGCAAAGAGGTCTGGTAAAGGCTTTATTGCTAGTGCTAGTCTCCCCAATCTTCACAAAGAGTGAACCTACAACCTTGAAGATTTTAAGAAAACAATAGGAGCTAATATTACTGATAAGGAAGCCATGGACCTTTTATTCTACTGTCCCTTCAAATTCCCTGATACAAGAGACATAAAATAAGTAACAAGTGTTTTTATTTTATAGGAGAAACTCTGTTGACCGCAAATGTATGAAGTTGAGCAGCTTTTCAAAGCGGAAAATCAAGACAAAATACAGCATCTGAAATGCAAAGCAAGACTCCATCCCAGTTCCGATCAAAAAAGAAATCAAGAGACTTCAGCCTATAAGTAAGGAATAACATGACTTCACATCTAGAAAACACTGACCTCCTTCTTGACATTATATCTCTTAGTGCTGAGAGCATTCAGAGCCAGGATACCGTCTCAGATGCCACAGATGGTGTATTTATGAAAATTTCTGAAGATCATGCCAAAGGTCTTGAGAACACTAAATCAGATACCTCTACAGAAAAGAAAAATGACCAAAGAGACTCAACTCAGAGGTAAAGCCATCATCTCATTATTAGGGATTTTGATAACCCTGAGATTGTAATCTTACCTTCAAAGACACTTCCAGAAAATATAAACGAAAAGGATCAAATCATAAAAATCCAGCCTGGCCAAGAAGTCAGCATCGGTAGAGAGACCGGTGGGGATAAAATCAAGATCCAAGACCTCTCTCAAAGAACTCGAAATCCTCCGAAGGATTATGTCTTTGCAGAAAATGCGGATACCAGTTCCAAATTGTATATTTTTCGGTAATTGTATAGAAATGTTCCATCCAAAAAGAGAAGATCCAGTATATTTTGCAATAACAACTCTAGCCCTGGAATTTAAAGCAACTACAAAGAGACTTAGTGATGAAGAGCTACCCCAGTTCAAGAACTTAAGCAGCGAAGGAGCCATTACAAGTGAAGCTGCCCAGTCCACTTTTAGAATGAACCCTATGGGGATTGCTGGAATCGATAGGTTTCGACTCAACTCTAAGGAGATGGGCAACAATAGTTCAAAGTCACTATATCCATTAACCCAGAGGAGGAAGATAAATAGTAAGATATGGCCTAAGCATAGTTAATAATAATCTGGACATGAAAGATCCCTATATTCAAAAATAGGACAAAACTGACTCTAAGACAGGCAAAGTTGATGGCATCTCTTAATAAAAACAAAATTAACAGGGGGAAATTCAATTACATGTTGAACCATATTACTTCGACAAAAGCTAGAAGGGTCATCCAAAAGCTATTAGGTCCTACTAAGATTATTATGAATGATTTCAAAAATGAGTCATGTAGGGCATCCTAGATTATCTAACTTGCTATAGCTTTAGTAGAAGAGGAAAGTGACCTCATCAATTTACCAAAAGAAGTTGAAGATATTATATCTGAGTACAACTCAATCAGACTTTCTCTACTAAGAACTCAATTCAAGGAGTCTGAGAATACACTTGGGTCGTCTTATAAATTTGATGAAGATCAGATAGAGAAACCTTTTCAGAGTATTTCTTCAACAGGTGTGATTCCAAACACCTCTCGGAAAACTTACGGCCAAGAAATAGCTAAGAATACCTTTTTGAGTAAATTCTTTTAACAAATTAACCTTTCAATTTCATAACTGTCTGACGGGGTTTTGGGGTTTTGGGGTTTTGGGGTTTTGGGG